GCACTTATCCCGCTTTTAGGCCGAGAGAGCCGGCCGTTATCCACAGACAGCTTTCCGGGTTATGTGGCCAGCATGACTAAGCCGCTTCTGGCACAACGGAACACCATGACGGAAGCCAGAGTGCACAGAAACGCCGTTTACCTTCCCGCTGCAGCGGTACCTATTTATCTACTTGTACTGGCGTGCTTTCGAACTGCTAGGTAGGCAGGAGCTGGGACAGAGCAACGGGAGCTCACCCCGTTGTGGGGATTCGAACCGCCGACCTTCTGATTGGCAAGCCAAAGAGGCTCAGTGGTTTAGACCACAGCATCACCTGCATCCCTACTATCCATGGTCAACCTTTATGCAGACAGGGGACTGAATTTTCCTTATTGATTTTATGTTCTTTAAAATTTATTTTTTATCTTTATGCTATCTATTCTTATGCCTTTCATTATGTCTTTATTATTGCACTACATAAGATGTTTTCTTAATGTTCTACACTGCCCTGGGCTCTTTCTATAAAGGGCAGTATACAAATCGAATCAATAATAACAATAAATTTATACACTAAGCCCTCAATGTGGCAAAACATGCTAAATAAAACCTCAGCTACTAAATACGAACTGTGCACACTGAGAAAAAGATTAATGCCATGTACATATACAAGCATAGCCAGGAAATATTAGAGACTACATTTATTTTATTTTTTTGCTTAAACAACAACAACAAACAGAAAAATGAGCTCACCATGGCCAAAGCTACCATTCTCCCAAATTGTAGAGAGAAATCAGTTTTTGAGGAAATGGAATGAAATAGAAGAAATCTTTTTACAATTTCCATCCTGGTTAGAGCTTTTAAAATCCCCGGGCCAGCTATGCTTCAGCTCAAGGAAAAGAATAAAGCCATCAGTTGACTTTATTATGTTTGGGAAGAGTAAAATAAATAAATAAAAGAAGAACTGTGATAGATGTTTGAAGAGAGGCCCATTGTATGCCACATCAAGGCTCGGCTTATACTTCACACACTGTTGACCATGAAAAGGGGCTCCTCATGACTTTCGAAGGCCCATTACACAAAAAGGGAGAGAGAGAGAGAGAGAGAGAGAGAGAGAGAGAGAGAGAGAGAACTTTTATGGATGTGTTTTGCCCTGGGGAGGGGTGGGGGGTCTGACTGCTACCATCCTCCATGATTAATGGCTTGTGGCTTTATTGTGTGGACGCTGCTAATTAGCTTCAGACTGATTAAGGACGAAGAATGCAAACTTCAGCTCTGTATACCTCCGTCACCTCTTTTCCACCAGAGTAAACTTGGCATGTGGAAAAACTCTGACACCCAGATTTCTTCAGAACGTGGAAAAAGGTCTCAGCGGGAGAATAACACAGCTTTCAAGTGGTTCTCATTATGCCACCCGCCAGAACAATGGCTACTGGACAACGACCTCAGATTGTTGTGTTTTTATGCTAAGGTTCACAATAGCTTTTTTTAAAAAAAATTGATTAAAAAAATAGATAAAATAAAAACATTTGAGATCTACACAGGTTGCCTGCTATAATTATTAAACATTCTTGGCACGTTTATTGAGGATTCCCTGCATATTAACTAGTGTGTGTGTGTGTGTGTGTTTAAAACAGAGCCTGAAAAAAAAAGAATAATTAAGCTGTGAGCACTTATTTTTGTGTAATTATTAGCAAACGAAAGACAGTTAATTATGCTTCTGTAGCTTCACCCAGTCTTTTCAGATACTCATCAGGGATGCATTTAAGAAGAAAAATGGACTAATTGTTATTGCTGGAAAACTCTGACCACCTGTAAAAGCCTGTAATAGCAAAAGCCCCTTACCCATGTAGATGTTGTCATATCTCAAACTTCTAAAGCTTTCTGTCTCCGCTCTTTCTCTCATGAAGTTGTTCTTCACACCAGAAACTATTTGTTCTATGAACACAGGAAAGCCAGACTTCCAGCACTCATCAGACTGTAAAGGCTGATCAGGGTAATAATAGATTGTTTGTCCTTTGGGCACAAGCAAGAAAATGCATTAAAAGAAAACCTAAAACAAACCTTTAGCAGTTCATATAGCAAAGTAATCAGGCATTCCAAATTTGAGGTGAAGGAAATACAACAAAGATGCTGAGATTTCAGAGATTTTTTTAAAATAAAACTCATAAATGCTAATGAAAACTTTTGTTGATCAGTGTGAAACTATTTGTACTATAAAGCCAGATGTCTATAGGTGTATGTGCAGAAATTATTTAAGGACTTACTATAGATGAAACACTTACTGATTGCTTTGAATGACATAACTGGACCACCCAGCCAAAAAGCCTTTTGTTTGTTGAACATCTTTCTCAGTTGCCTTGATTGCATCCTATGAATGTTTTATATGGTTGCTGTCACCCAGCCAGACCTAAAATCCTTTCTTATTCCCAGATGTGTTTGTTTTGTTAGGGGTATTTCTGCTCCTACCTGGACAGTTATCTTTCCACAAGGGCTGACATTGCTGCCGAAATCCAGCATCACCTGTGAAACGTGGGCCACTTATAAACACCATCTCCAACTTCTTAAAAGGTTCCATCAAAAGTGTCTCTGAAAAAATTTAGACATCACTTGGGAAGACAGGCGAACTAATGCCAGTGTACTGGAAGAAGCAAAGATCACCAGTGTCAAAGCAATAGTTCTTCAACATCAACTTCGTTGGACTGGTCATGTTGTGCAGATGTCTGATTATCGTCTTCCAAAGCAACTACTCTATTCCCGACTTAAAAATGGAAAGCGTAATGCTGGTGGTTAGCAAAAGAGGTTCAAAGACTGTCTCAATGCAAATCTTAAAAAATGTAGTGTAAGCACTGACAACTGGGAAACACTGACCTGCGAGCGTTCCAGTTGGAGAACAGCCTTTACCAAAGGTGTCATGGGCTTTGAAGACACTCAGTCTCAAGATGCAAGGGTGAAACATGCTAAGAGGAAGGCACACTTGGCAAAACCACACCGTGGTCAACTCCCGCCCGGGAACCTATGTCCTCACTGTGGAAGGACGTGTGGATCCAGAATTGGCCTCCACAGTCACTTACGGACTCACGTTATGATTGTGTTCATGGAAGACAATCTTACTTGGCTATGAGTGATCACCAAAGAAGAAGAAGATGAAGGGATATATCTATTGAATTGCCAAGATGCCCTCACACATGGCTGTTACTGGGGACTATAATTTCTAGGGGTACTATACAATAATGTCCCTGTGCACAGCACCATCAACATGTAAAGTGAAAACTCATGAGAATGGTTACCCCCCCCCCCATATTGGATACTCAATAAGCAAATTTGTAAATACAGGTGGTGACCATTTCGTATTGCTGTGCTCATCAGGCCTCATGATCATGTGTCAAATCATGCTTTTGCCAATAAAGGGTTAATTCCAACTTGCACAGTGTGATTTATTGCTGGTTCACTCCTGACACTCGAGTGGAATACCTCAACCATGAAGGAACTCTCAGATGCAAGGCTATTTTTCTATAGCCCCATCCCAAGCCCTTAAAGTGTGGTGTAGTGGTTAAGAGCGGTAGACTCGCAATCTGGTGAACCGGGTTCGCGTCTCCACTCCTCCAAATGCAGCTGCTGGGTGACCTTGGGCTAGTCACACTTCTTTGAAGTCTCTCATCCCCACTCACCTCACAGAGTGTTTGTTGTGGGGGAGGAAGGGAAAGGAGATTGTTAGCCGCTTTGAGACTCCTTCGGGTAGTGATAAAGCGGGATATCAAATCCAAACTCTTCTTCTTCTTCTTCTTCTTCTTCTTCTTCTTCTTCTTCTTCTTCTTCACCCTACCCATTCGCCTTACCTCCCTTAGTCGGTCAGATCAGGACGCACACCAATGGCAACATAAAGAAATGTGAGGCTGTGCCCTGGAACATAATGTTTTAAATGATTCTTCATTCTTTGGTTGTAATTTAGAAAATTCTGTGCAATAAAATGGATACGCTGCTCTCCTAGGACTGATTGTAAGTGATTAAGAGATACCCAGGGCCTGTATTTCACGCGTACAGCTGGGGGTGGAGAAAGAAGAAACTAAAGTTAATCTGTACTCCAGTGATTCCTAAGACAAAACTATTTAAGACTAACACCAAATATAATAATAGATTACAAATACTTCATGAAAATTAGCACCCGTGAGAGGGGAAAAACTACAAGTACATACAGTTAGTAATTGAAAATATTAATAGTGGAGAAAAAATGTACCCATTCTCTGAACAATTTGTAGCAATGTTAAATAATTGATAGCAGTTTCTCGTAATTAAATACTAATGAATGCATTTACTGGGTAATATACTTTATGGCTATTCTCTTTATTTAGAAACACTTGTATTAATCTTGCATGAGTAATTTAAGCATATCAAATGATTTCCAAAAACATTCATTCCAGCAAATTCTTTTTAGTAAACATCTAATTGTTTAACTTTTTTCTGCAATTAAAGCTTTTATCTGGGTGATGATGGGACAAAGGCAATAATTACTTAGCTCTTATGCAAACATGGAAATGAATAGAAATTTGCCTCTAAATTCAGTGGCATCAGAAGACCCAATAAGGCATACATAATGGGTGGTTATGTGATTGAACCTTCTAAAATGAGCACCAGGAAATGCGTAATCAAATGTAAAGCTTTGTTATTTATTAATACTAAACAGTAGAAATGTAGCACATTATTATTATTATTATTATTATTATTATTATTATTATTATTATTTACCGTTAAATATAAGTGCTTCTTCAACTGTATGTCACTCCTATGACTTAATTTTAAAAAAATCTGTTCTGGGTATGAGATCTTATGGATTCAAAGTGCTCTTAAACCCAGATCCTCTTCCCCATTCATTCTAATGGAGGTAGCTGATTGTTATTACCACAATTGTTTTAGTTATATGCTGCTTTTAAAATTAAAAATTAAAAAAACCTCTAAGGATTATAACTGTGCCAAAGGGAGAAAAAAGCAGTGTAGCCATAACGAATCTCCATTAAAACTTCTCAGACTCGGTTTCAATCTCAGACCATATAATAAGTCTGACAAATCCCAGAGATTGCGGACAGAGTCTGAACAGAATGAGGAGAAACCAAAGTCCTGACTGCAGTTGATTCAGCAACTGAGCATCAGACAAGCAACAAGGAGGGAGGTCTCGGGGCTGGGAGCTGTGGCTCTCTTGTAAGGTCAGTAGGGAGGCATACTTCTGTTCAGGTAGGCCATGGATGTGTCGTGATGACAGGAGAGGGGGGGAACTAAGATTTGTGAGACCCGCCAGCAGGTATTTAAATCCAGGCAGGCCTAGGATAAAGCGTATTAGCTGTGGCTTTTATTCCATCAGACAAGTGGTAACAGGAAGTGGGAGAGGCAGGAAGATGCGGGCAAGCAACCACGTCGCCTTTCTCTAACTGCGGTTCTGGAAGATGGAAAGGAAGCATGGCCTAGGACTAGCAGGAAAACCTTTCAGAACTAGTATCTGGGGCTGCTACCTACCCACAATTCCCAACAAAATATGGTGCTTTATCCTGCTAAATTATGCTGTCAGATTAAAGGCAAAAAGGTAAAGGTAAAGGATCCCTAGGGACGTGGGTGGCGCTGTGGGTTAAACCACAGAGCCTCGTGGGCTTGCCGATCAGAAGGTTGGCGCTTCGAATCCCTGTGACGGGATGAGCTCCCATTGCTCGGTCCCTGCTCCTGCCAACCTAGCAGTTCGAAAGCACGTCAAAGTGCAAGTAGATAAATAGGTACCGCTCCGGCAGGAAGGTAAATGGCATTTCCGTGCGCTGCTCTGGTTCGCCAGAAGCGGCTTAGTCATGTTGGCCACATGGCCTGGAAGCTGTACACCGGCTCCCTCGGTCAATAAAGCGAGATGAGCGCCGCAACCCCAGAGTTGGCCACGACTGGACCTAATGGTTAGGGGTCCCTTTACCTTTACCTAAAGGACCCCTGGACAGTAGTCCAGTCAAAGGCGACTATGGCGTTGCAGCGCTCATCTCACTTTTAGGACAAGGGAACCGGCATTTGTCCACAAGACAGCTTTCTGGGTCATGTGGCCAGCATGACTAAACTGCTTCTGGCACAACGGAACACCGTGATGGAAATCAGAGCACACGGAAACGCCATTTATCTTCCCGCTGCAGTGGTACCTATTTATCTACTTGCACTGGTGTGCTTTCGAACTGCTAGGTTGGCAGGAGCTGGGACAGAGCAACAGGAGCTCACTCCGTCACAGGGATTCAAACTGCCAACCTTCTGATTGGCAAGCCCAAGAGGCTCAGTAGTTTAGACCACAGCATCATCCACATCCCTTTGTTACCTATGTTGTCAGATTACAACTCCCATGGCTATCATTGGCCATGCTGTCTGGGGCTGTTGGAGTGTTTAACATTTGAAGGGCACCTGGCCCCGTCTTAGACTAAAGAGCAGGGATATTCTGATGATGTGTTTCACAATACAGTGGTACCTCGGGTTACATACGCTTCAGGTTACATACGCTTCAGGTTACAGACTCTGCTAACCCTGAAATATTACCTCGGGTTAAGAATTTTGCTTCAGGATGAGAACAGAAATTGTGCTCCGGCGGTGCAGCAGCAGCAGGAGGCCCCATTAGCTAAAGTGGTGCTTCAGGTTAAGAACAGTTTCAGGTTAAGAACGGACCTCCGAAACGAATTAAGTACTTAACCTGAGGTACCACTGTAATCAAACATGAATGGGAGCTCTGCAGCTGTTCAGTCATTCATCATTCCGGTTAGCTGGTTGGTTTCCATGCCAGCACCAGCCATCTTGAATGACATCAATTAAACAACAACAACAACAACAGCAACATGTGATGAATTCAACCATTTTCGAACCCAGGATATATTTAACTATGATTTGTTACACAAATGTCACTCTGTTGTCATTGTTCTGGAATTATGCTGCTGAAATGTGCATTCCATTGAACTCTGTTTTATTGAGGTGATGGTGGTAACCATTAGCATTCATTATTATGTTTCTTATTATGACTCCCTACCAATACAGCACTTGATTACAAGGCTGTAGGTATGTGTGCGCATGTGTGGAAAGGGGTCAAGGCAATGATGCTTAATGGAACTAGTAGCTTTATAAATATATGTGCCAATAATCTTTCAAAGAAAGAATGATTCCTTGAGGTCATTCTGAAGCATGCAAGATTTCAACCATTTGGGTCAAAATGACATTGTCTGCATTGACTTGGCAGCTGCCCAGAACATCCCAGATAATATTCAGGACAATGATATGAGCCGTCTGTGCCTCCGTTAATGAGTGTAGGGATGAAACATAACAACAACAAACAACCACAACAAGAACGTTCTGTTCTTCTGCTAAAAGTATCCAGAGTGGTATTCTGCATAATCATAAAACCAAACAATATAAGCAAGTATCTAAATATGGAAGAGATAATGTGGGGATTAGGAACAACTGCAGTGAGAAATTGGCGCACTCTCCCCAGATCTAAAAGATAGCTCTGCAAGACATGATGTTGCCCTTGAGCTGTGCTGCCATCTTCTGCCTGATATCTGCTCCTGGGGTCTATTCTATTGGGCTATACCGGGGGAGAAATTAGGCTCAAGGTGGAAAGGACTTCTGTAAGCAACAACATCGGAAAGTCTGCCTGAAGCCAGTCCCATGCCAACACAATGTGATGTTGCATGATGTTACTGGCATATGAAACATACAGCCACATGCATCAAGACTGTGAATCACAGAAGACAGAGCTATGCCTTCATGCAATTACACGGCAATGCCACACTTTTCCTGGAATCAAAATATAGAAGTACCTCAAATATAAAAATTGGTGTTCTTTTCAAGGGGTGGGGGTGGGGATGGAGGGGCAGAAGCCAAAGAAATTTTTTAAATTATTTTTTGTAAATTGCAAACTGGTTTGCGAAATCTCTCTCTCTGGGGGTGTTTTGGCCAGATCTAGTAGTGACGTAGCACAGAAATATCATTCCCAATGGGCTGCTGATGTTTACCAATGGGTGAGCCAAAGGATCAAGAGGTGAGATCACTGCCCCTTAAGCACTTAGGGTATTTTTTAATGTTGAAATAATATTAGTAATGGAGTGGAACAAGACAGATGTCAATGAATGTTGTGAAGGAAATGGAAAGAGAAAAAACTTTTCTCCCCTTCTGTCAGAGACCGTGCTGAGGAGGGCTGCACTGAGGAGGAATGGTGGGAGTCTGTCTCCCCTCCCCCGCTCCTGAATCTTCCCAGGAGCAGGAGGACAGTATCGATTTGGAACAGCGGTTTGCAGAGGAGCGTAGTTCAGAAGGCAGAAGCTGGGAAATACTGGATGGGGAACAGCTTGGAGATGAAGCACTGGGAGAGAGAGGGTTAACACATTCACTGTCTCTGGACAGCATTCCTCCTCTCAGCCCAAGGTCAAGAAGAGCTCAGAAAGTCTCAGAACAGAAAGCACAGCGGTTACAAACTCAGATTATTTGACATGGGAGTGACATAGATTAATAGGGACAGAAGCGAGTGTGATCCTTAACTGGGAGCACCGCCATTCTAGGAGATGTGTTATTTGTTCTCTAGCTGTGATTATTAAAGTTTCTAACTAGTAAGATGTTCCTTTCTTTGATCTTCTTATCTACTGTGCTGGGAGGGAACAGATTCCCCAAAGCCTGACACCTTCTCATAATAAAATTTGGATACCCCTAATTAAAATTATTGGTAATAAGTTGAGGACGTGGTGTGTTTGTGTGTGGAGGGGGGGAGAAGAGTACTTCTTAGGATTCAACACATGGCATCCTTACAGGGACTCACCACTGCAGAAGAGTTGAGCCTGACCTGACCCCTCTTAAAAAAAGATCCTGACACTCACTACTGGGCAGCTCCCATTTATGTTTCCCACAATGCCCTTGAGTGACACTACAATGTTGGTATTGTGAGGAAACTTAGTAGAAACTGGGGGTGTACTGGGAGAGGAGAGCTGTTGCTAGGTAGGTCTGTCAGGGTGGGGACTACTACAGTAGGAGGGACCACTTCTGGGGATCAAGCATGGAGCCAATCTTCCACTTCTTCACAGAATGCGTCATCCACACATGGAATTTACTGATGCAAGATAGCCAGTAGTTTAATTGGTTTTAAAATGGGATTAGACAAATATGTGAAAGATAGAGACATCAGTTGCTATCACCTATGTACTATGGTAAGGGACGTGGGTGGCGCTGTGGGTTAAGCCACAGAGTCTAGGACTTGCCGATCAGAAGGTTAGCGGTTCGAATCCCCACAACGGGGTGAGCTCCCGTTGCTTAGTCCCTGCTCCTGCCAACCTAGCAGTTTGAAAGCACATTAAAGTGCAAGTAGATAAATAGGTACCGCTCCGGTGGGAAGGTAAACGGTGTTTCCGTGTGCTGCTCTGGTTTCACCAGAAGTGGCTTAGTCATGCTGGCCACATGACCCGGAAGCTGTACACCGGCTCCCTTGGCCAATAAAGCGAGATGAGCGCCGCAACCCCAGAGTCGATCACGACTGGACCTAACGGTCAGGGGTCCCCTTTACCCCCCTTTATGTACTATGGTAACTAAATGGAAGATCCATGTAGAGGTGCAGAAAATTTAGGATTCTGATACACTAAGGATGAACAATAGGGGATGGTCATTGTCTTTTCTTTGTGAGACTGGCTCGCCATTCTGGAAACAACAACAACAACCATCTTTATTATTTATATGCTGCCCATGTGACTGGATTGTCTTAGCCACTCGGGGCGCCTCCCAGCAAAATATTGAAAACACAGTAAAGCATCAACCATTAAAAACTTCCCTGAACTGTGCTGCCTACAAATGTCTTCTAAAAGTCAAATAGTTATCTGTTTGACATCTGACGGGAGGGTGTTCCACAAGGCAGGTACCACTACCAAGAAGGCCCTCTGCCTGGTTACCTGTAGCTTCAGGTCTCACAGTGAGGGAACCACCAGAAGGCCTTCGGAGGAGGACCTCAGTGTCCAGGCTGGATGGTGGAGATAGAGACGCCACTTCAGGTATACAGGGCTGAGGCTGATTAGGGCTTAAAAGGTGAACACCAACACTCTGAATTGTGCTCGGAAATGTACTGTTGCATTCTTAAGCCCTAGGAAAGTTGTATCTAATTCTACTCTTTAATTTTTAGTAGGATTTAGTGATTAAACTGGGTAGCTGAATCAATTAAAAATATTTTGCTTGACTAAAAACATGCCTGATTAATTTTCTTTAATCAGGTGACAGCCCTAATTTTTAGCTATTCAGAAAGTAGTTTGTGCTCTCCCTAACTTCATCCACTCACGGGATCTGAACCTTTAAACAAAGTTTTACAATAGTACTGGAACAGATATATTTGTTTTGCCTCTGGTGTTGACATCATGCCTGATTGACAAACTGTAATTTGAGCGATAACTGTTACATTGCAAACGTCACCTGGAAAACCCCTTGATTGCTATTCAGCTGTACATGCCGCACATTCGAGGCTGGAAGTCATCATTTGCAAATCATCACCTTTCTAGAAGGACTACCAATTCAAGTTTCAAAATGCACGAATGCACACACACACAAGCACTGGTGAACATGTTGAAGAAACATTAACCCAAGGAAGTGAAGAAATATGAAATACTTCACGAAGTCATGGGTTTCTCATTATAGGAATACTTGACCTACTGTGTTTTTGCTGAGGTATTAAAGCCGTAGAACATTTGGTTTAAAAAATATTAGTTGCTACAAGGCATCTGCCCCTCTGTCTAGTATGGGGTGACAATTCATTCTGCATGGTAGACCTATTTAGAAACATGTTACTTATCAGATAGAGGTAGCTTGCGTTAATTGTATATAGCTGGCATAAGAGGGTAAGTTCACACTGTCATTTCTGCTACTGAATTGTTTTAATGGAAAAAGGGGTCTGTGTGTAATGATGCAGGTGTTGATGAAAATTATTGTGTTATGTATGTTATCACTAGTTCATACAGGAACAAGGCAGGGGGCCTTCATGGTAGCCCAGCCTCTGAAATGCCCTCCCATCAGATATCAAGGAGATAAGTAACTATGCAACCTTTAGAAGATATCTGAAGGCCCTGTATAGGGAAGTTTTTTAATGTTTCATGTTTCATTATGTTTTTATATATGTTGGAAGCTGCCCAGAGTGGCTGGGGCAACCCAGTCAGTTGGGTTGGGTATTATTATTATTATTATTATTACTACTACTACCACAAAGACGATCATGTGAACTAGCCTCAGTTGGTGGCCATAACACCATACATTTTAGTACTCTTGCTTCCTTAGTGTTTTGGGACAACACACTAGATCAGGGGTCAGCAAACTTTTTCAGCAGGGGGCCGGTCCACTGTCCCTCAGACCTTGTGGGGGGCCGGTATTTTGGAAAAAATGATGCAAGAGCACCACGAGCCCTGGTGGCTGCTTACATGTGTCTTGCGAGCGGCGGAGGCTGGCAGCGGCAGCAGTGGTGGGATGATGAGTGGCGCATGAAAGGGCTCTGGAGTGGGGCTGCTTAAAATGGCGGCCGCTTGAGCGCTGCTGCTGCTGGCACCAACAAAGCCCACCCCCTTTCCTCCTCTAGGAAGGGCAGGGAGAAGCCAGGAGGAGGGAGGGAGGAGGCACCAGCATGAGGGAGAGGCAAAGAACCTGCGTGCTGGTGATCAATGAGACGATTCCTTGACCGTCCGCGGGCCGGATCGAGAAGGCAATTGAGCCTGATCTGGCCTGCGGGCCTTAGTTTGCCTACCCATGCACTAGATTAATACAAGGGCTTCAACGATTTGCGTCAAACAGAGCCCTGAAACCTATAGAGGGTTGAATGAAACTTTTCTCTCTAGGTTAGCCTTGCCTTGCTACAGAGTGCTGAGCAGAGTGCAGTTATATTTTGCCAGCCTCCCTCCTTCGCTGCCTGTTGTGACATGCCAACTCCCGCTCTGAACCACAGCAGGTGGTGGCAGAAGGAATCAAAATGATACCAGACTGATAAAGCAAGTCTGATAAAACGAAACTCAGCACCAACAAATGCCACAAACGCTACACACTGGAAGGAGAAATCAAATGCACAAGTTTGAAAAAGAATTAGAAGAGGGGAAACGCCTGTCAAGGTAGTCTTGCCAAAGGGGATTTATGGGATTGCACACACATATACAGAGAAGAGTCAGCTTACTCTCATGTGCATATTTGCCAGCGTTCCTGCTTGGAGGCATTCTACATGGGGATATCTATATGCATGTAAGCTCCCTTTCACACTAATGCTGAGTGTGTGGCCACTTGGGGAGTCAATCAGTTGAGGATGTGGCCAGCAGGCACACTGGTGTCAGAAGCGTGGCTAGCAAGCACAACCCTGCTCCCCTTTTGCACATTCATGGAACATGGGGTGGAGAATGGCTGTGCCTGGCTCCTGAGAAGGTGACACCCAAATCTTCACAATAAATCTTATATCTAATCACCCTTCGGATGGGCCAGGTTCTATCTGGAAGCACCTTCAAGGGAGGCTGCCCAGCAGCTTTCCAGATGTTCCTAGAATCATAGAATTGTAGAGCTGGAATTGACCCCAAGGATGATCTGGTCCAACCTCCTGTAATGCAGGAATTTCAACTAAAGCATTCATGACGAATGACCATCCAACATCTGCTTGCAACCCCACAAGGAAGGAGAGTCCATCTCTCATGGGAGTCTGTTCCACTGTCATAATGCCAGAAAGTTCTTCCTGATTCTTAGTCGGAATCTCCTTTCTTGTAACTTGAAGCCATTGGTTCAGGTCTCCGGAGCATGAGAAAACAAGCTTGTTGTTGGACTGCCCCTTCCACCATCCCCAGTCAGCGTGGCCAATGGGAAGAGATTATGGGATTTGTAGTGCAAGAAAGTCTGGAGGGCCCCAGGCTAGCTATACCTGCTCTAAGGGGGTTTGCAGCATCCACTGTCAAGCTTGGATCATTGGTACTACTCTGGTTGTAAAAGGCCTAGTAAGACACTCAGGCCTGAGAGCAGGAACAGAACACGAGTCACTGGGTAGGCTGAACATCAGTAGGCTGCTGGCATGGAGGGAGAACCTGGAGTCAAAGCTCAGAGAAGGCAGCACTCTTCATGTGAGATAGTTGCACCAGATTGACAAGGAGGAGTTGGCGTTCTTGTGAAAATCAAGCATCTCTTACTAGTGCACCAGGACAGAAGCTTCTCCATTAGGGGCTTTCAGGGTAAAAGTGTCTCTGGTTGCCATTAGTTTCAGTGAGGAACCCATCTTGAATTGAACTTTCAGGGCCAATCTTTGAAAAAATGCAGAGAGACAGCCCTCAATTCACCCCACAGCTATGACAGTTGGTGATTTGTTACGACTGGGGCAGAATTTCAACCTTTCAATCTGTTTAAAATGATTGGGCTGCTCGTGGGCGGACTTTGGTAATATGGCACCCTGAGCGAGGACAAAATTTGGCACCCTCCCTAAATATTTTAATTTTTGAGTAGGTACCCCTATAAATATTGGTCAGTGCCCTGTGTGGGGGAACTGCCTGCCCTGCCCTAAATTTGGCTCTGGGCTGCTGTCCTCTGAACAGAGCACCCCATCCCTGTCCCCAATAGGCACAGATTATTTGGGCTGTCAATACATTTTTCAATATTTATACAAAATATATATTATTGGCTACTTGACCTTCCCTTCTCCAACCAGAAGTCCTGGTGGGACAGGGAGTCTCAGGGCCTGATCCTCAGTGCTGCCTGCTCAAGCCTTGTGGCACCTCAAAGCTCCTACCTCCCCCACTCCCTGCCTGAGACTCTCTGAAACACATGAAACTTAATAGTAAATAAACATCCAATACTGAATAATCTTACAGACAGAGAGCTGCTGAAGAAGGACTAGGGGGCAATTTTGGAGTTCCTTTGTAATAACTTTGCCTTCAGGCATTTTTGCAACCAAAAGGAATGTGGATGGAAGGCTGTTTGTAGTTCACACTAAATAACGTTAGCAACTGAAGTCTCATGTGGCATTTTTGCCTTCAAATCCCCTCTGTCAGTTTCTTTAAAGAGTTTTGCTGGGGCTGCTTTACTTCACAGGAAAGATTTTGCTAGTGGCTGCTCTCAAAAATATTTCATTTACAAATGAGATTCTCTTTTATCAGATGCCAGCTTATTTCTACATAGCCTGAATAATAGTAATAATAATAACGGTCTAAACAGCTCTCCCATTTTTGGAGAGCCTCATCCTGAAGGATTCCCCAGTTTATAAACCAGAGGTTGCACAATGCTCAGCTTTTCCATTTTATCACTTGTCTCTAAGAAGCTATTTTTGGATCGTAACAGTTTAGACAAAAAAAGAGGGGGAGAGCGCTATCTTCCCTACAGAGGTTGTGATCGACTAAACGAAGAGCAGCTCTGCATACATATAGTAAGATGCAAACGGTTTGAAAGATATGCCTAGGAAAGCAGAGGATGAAACACCAGCCTGCTCCGAGAGCCGTCATGCAATTGCATCTCCTGTTGACATTCAGCAAATATTGCAACTTCAAACTTTTTTTGGGGGGGGGGGGAATTCCCGCTAGCATTCGTTTCAGCAATATACTTGAGAGGCGGAAAACCCATGAAGGTGTACAAGAGTTTGCACATGCGTTGCACCGTAAGAACATAGGATCATAGGATTGCAGAGTTGGACGGACCACAAGGGCCAGTGTGGTGTAGTGGTTAAGAGCAGTAGACCCGTAATCTGGTGAACCGGGTTCGTGTCCCCGCTTCTCGACATGCAGCTGCTGGGTGACCTTGGGCCAGTCACACTTCTTTGAAGTCTCTCAGCCTCACTCACCTCACAGAGTATTTGTTGTGGGGGAGGAAGGGAAAGGAGATTGTTAGTGGCTTTGAGACTCCTTAAGGGGAGTGAAAGGCAGGATATCAAGTCCAAACTACTACTACTACTACTACTACTCTTCTTCTTCTTCTTCTTCTTCTTCTTCTTCTTCTTCTTCTTCTTCTTCTTCGTCTGGCCTCCTGCAACTCAGGAAATTTTGCCCAACATGGGGCTCAAACCCACAACTCTGAGATTAAGAGTCTTATGCTCTACCAACTGAGCTATCCCAACATAAGAAGAGCCACCTGGATCTGATTAGTGGCCCACCTAGTCTAACATCCTGTTCTCACAATGGCCAACTGGGTGCCCATGGGAAACCCACAAGCAGGATCTGAGCACTCTCCCCTCCTGCAGTTTCCAGCGACTGATACTCTGAAGTATTAATGCCTCCAGCAAGGGACATAAAACATAGCCATCAGGGTTGATAGACACTGACAGCCTTACCCTCCATGAATTTGTCTAATCTTCTTTGAGTAGCCAGCAGCACCTCTTTGAAGAGCAAATTCCATAGTTCAGCTGGACAGTGTGAAGAAGTACTTTCCTTTGTCTGTCTTGAATCGTCAGACGTTCAGCTTTGTTGGATGTCTATGAATTCGAGTGTTATGTTTCTCTACCCACTTCCTCCATGCAATGCATAAATTTATACACCTCTCTCATGTTGCCTGTTATGTGAAGAAGAAGAAGAGTTTGGATTTGATATCCCGCTTTATGTTCACTTGTTGTAACCTGCCCTGAGACCTTATAAGTAAATAAAATAGTAGAAATGTAATAGAAAGGGGTGGTGAGTTTGTCTGTCATACCCACTCTGAAATTTGAAAAGTTGTACATGGGGCTCCAATGAGCACCAATTTCCCACTCAAAATGTAATCATCATTTTTAAAATGTGACTAGATGTTCATGATTATATTGTCCTTTTAATAAGCTCTGGATGTCCTATGGGCAGTTCATGCCCCTAATTTCTCTCTCTCTCTTGCCTTCCCCCAACAAAGGACTCACAATTCTCATTCAAACCACCCCCTTCGTTAGCTTGCCATATAATGCAGCCTTTCACCCAACTGCTATTCCTTATATTTAGTCCAAAACACTTTCCTACTGCTGTGACATGGCCAAAGACCCTCCTGCTGCTCCTTTAGCCATGATCCCACACTTGATAGTGAAACTGAAGCTGGTCAAGAGGCCTCTCGACGGAGCTGGTCTTGCTGTTATCACAGCAAGAGCTGAGGAGAAGCTGAGGTGCTTATATCCTCCCCTCGCGTCTCACCTGCCTGTGCTCATTGTTTTAGATGCTTGCTAAACCCAGACAGACAGATAATTTAGTATTCACTTCTACATATTGCTGGTTTCATCCACACATTATTGTTCTTCATTTTATATTGTCTTATACACACTGCTTTATTATTATTATTATTATTATTATTAAGCAGTTTATAATCCTTTATACAGTGGTACCTCAGGTTAAGTACTTAATTCGTTCCGGAGGTCCGTTCTTAACCTGAAACTGTTCTTAACCTGAAGCACCAATTTAGCTAATGGGGCCTCCCGCTGCTGCCGCGCCGCCGGAGTCCTGTTTCTGTTCTTATCCTGAAGCAAAGTTCTTACCCTGAAGCACTATTTCTGGGTTAGCGGAGTGTGTAACCTGAAGCGTATATAACCTGAAGTGTATGTAACCCGAGGTACCACTGTAAATGAAACAAAGTTCTCTGGGTGGCTCAGAAAATAAAAGAAATAACTGGTATTTTTTAAAAAACGCAATAACTGGTATTTTTTAAAAAACAGGCAGCCCTGTTTAGGGAAATTTTTAATGTTTGAAGTTTTATTCTCTTTTTACTCCTCTGTTGGGAGCCACCCAGAGTGGCTGGGGAAACCCAGCCAGATAGACGGGGTATAAATAATAAAATGAGGATGAGGATGATTAGGTAAAGCAGATTATACTTTCAAACAACAACGAACAGAAACGGCAGGACCATAGTAGCGTGGGATTCACAAGGTTAAAGAAAACCCAGTTTTCTCTCTCATCATTCACATTTCTGCTCTTTCGTAATTTTAATTCTTCCATTGATCTTTTCAGACACGTCCAGAAGGGGAGCGTTTGTCAATACCAGAAAGACGACCTAAGAGGAAGCCCCAATGAGCTTTTCATTGGCAATAGCACCCTACAATCCTGTCCCCTCAGGGAGCAAAACTTGTTTTTCAAGACATGACCTCAGAGATGTGCTCCACGCATCTTACACAATTTATCACCATGTTGCCTATAATTAGGTTTGTTAACGTACAGCCCAGTGCAGTCTTGTTGACTGGGAACTTAATCAAGTTACTATTGAGTTCTTGTATGCATGGCTCCGGGTGACTGTTTTACTTGTGGAATTATAGCCACAACCAATGTGAGGAAATTAAGCTCTGGACACAACTTTTCCCCCCCTTTTTCTTTTTAAACTCTCCTCTCCCCCACAATGTGAAAATATTTAGCAAACAGTGACAATGATGGAAAACAGTAGGAAACAAAAATGTTCTACATTAGTATAAAACATGAAAAATTGAGCAAGGACCCTCAGTGGTACAACATGTGTTATGCTGGCTGGCAGTCCATTAGGGTTGATAGACATTTCACTTACCTAAGTCAAATATAACAGTCTAGAATTCATTAATATAAGAAGGGGGCTGCAAAATCAAGCCTACCATCTGGTTAGAACGACAGAATAATCTACAACTCATGATTAGGTCTAAGGAGTGGAATTTCACTTTAATCTTTTTCATTGCTCGAAATTTCCATCTGCGGAGTACGGCACATCATTTTTCTTCAAGACAAATGTGCTGTTTTTCATGTTCCAAAATTAGATCAGAAGAAAACGATTAATCATGTCATGGCCTGGGAAAGGAAACAAAAGCCCTGATATTTCTCTCTCCCTCTCTCTCTCCCTCTCTTCCTCTCTCTGGCTGTTTGCAAGTTCTTTTCTTTCCCTCCACCGTCTCCATTTTCACTGCAACTTTTAAGAGGTGAACACACCCTAAATGCAGCAGGGCAGCAAATATGGGGTCTGGTGTGTGCAAAGCCATTTCTAGGCTTTCGGTTGACCTGTTGTTCTGAGTCTACCACCCACTAGTACACACTCCCTGTCCCACGCTGTGATGATTCCCCCTCTCCCCGCTTCCCTCCCCCCGGTCTCCCAGCGCAGGACAACAGATGGCGAACTGTTTGTATGTGACACCAAAACCGAGCTGAAAAATTCACGGAAACAAGTAGCCGGGCTGCAAATTAGTGAGACCACACAATTGTCAGGTGGCAGTCCCCTTTGACAGTTGTAGGCCATTATAGGAACATTGATGTTTTCGCAGTGTGACAAAGAGGAATCCTTTTAGTGCGGCAGGCCTGCCTGTCAGCCGGCTCTCAAGTCATAACAAATCTCTGGCACTCAGCTGAGGCTGAACATTTGCAGCGTCAGGAGGATGATAAATGACCTGCAGGGCTTTGAAGTGCCTTGGCAGTTCAGATGGGTCCACAGTGCTGACAGAGAAATATACACAACAGCGTAACCAATAATGAGAACATTAAACATTCCTGCCTTGTGACAGGCTGACAGAAAAACCCAGCCTCACATCAATCATCTGTGGAGATATAACCTTGACAATTAGCCCCCTCTCTGATACTTGAAATAACCTTTCTTCCCCCACCCCCAGTCTCTCTTTCTCTTATTTCTCTCTCTCTCTCTCTCTCCTTTTATTTATTTATTTGATTTCTTTTTGGGTATTTTATTTTTTTAGCCGAGCTTATCTGCCATGATCGTATTTCTGGTGTGTTAGGACAGGGAAGGGAAAAAAACAAAACAGCACATGGAGCCAGCACTCAGAAATATCTTTCTTTTTTCTTCCATTTGAAAAATAAAACATGCCAAGAGAAAGTTTATTTGGTGGACTTCCACTTATTTCCCTTTAGGAAAACAGAATATACATTTGGTGTCCTATCAGCTAAGAGCATCTGTTGGTACAAATACTGAGAATACAACTTTTGGTTTACATTTTATGCTTATTTTGTCCACACACCCCCCCTTTTTCAATGGTTCAGACTATTACAGTGGTACCTCGGGTTAAGAACTTGATTTCTTTATGGGTATTTTATTTTTTTAGCCGAGCTTATCTGCCATGATCGTATTTCTGGTGTGTTAGGACAGGGAAGGGTCCGTTCCTAACCTGAAACTGTTCTTAACCTGAGGTACCACTTTAGCTAATGGGGCCTCCTGCTGCCGCTGTGCCGCCGCTGCACGATTTCTGTTCTCACCCTGAAGCAAAGTTCTTAATCCAAGGTAATATTTCTGGGTTAGCGGAGTCTGTAACCTGAAGTGTATGTAACCCGAGGTACCACTGTACATTGAAATTGTGTGTGTGTGTGTGTGTGTGTGTGTGTACACACACACACACACTCTCTACCCAGTGGGCCACTCCACATAAGAGTAAGGGCACAACTAGATGAAAGAATGATGGGACTTAAATCAGGACCTGCCCAATTCTTATGAAGTCGGGTGGACCTAATTTAAAATATAATAGCTAGGCTTCCTCTATTCTGTAGGGTAACCAGCCTCATATAACCAACATGCTAATGTTTAATTAATGTATGAATCAAGCCTACTGATGTGCCCAATCTACTTGAGAAGCTCAGTGTGTGAAGAGGTTCGACCTGGTTGCTCCAGCTCAACCTTATGGCTTTCACAAGCCACTCTTAAGTTCCTATACCAATAAACTAGGAACTTTTGTCACTTTATAAGTAAGCTAAGTTTTACTGCCTGTGCAGCTTTTCTGAAACACATTAAAAAAATTATTATTATTACTTTACACCCATACACAATCTTAGGTCCGTGTACAGCTTTCAATAATTATACCATTAAATATTGATTTAAACTTTCATTTGTACATGCACTTTTCTTATAATTTCTAACTAAACAAAAATAAACCAAAGTAAAAAATCCAATAAACTAAATTATATGAAAACAGACTTCCCGTCATTTCCTGATGTAAGTTACATTGAATGTACTTATACTTCTTACCTTACTCTTACTATAGTTTCTAGTACTTTCTTATAACATATTGTACCATTTTTCCTTGCTTAGTAGTATTTAATTTACGCAAGAGTCATTCAAACGCTGCCATAGATGTTATGTCATTGTTAGATTTTTGTAGGTATTTCTTGAACATATCCCATTTTTGCTTGAATAATTGTTCTGTATTTCCCCTTAATCTGTCAATTGAGCCAATTCTGCATAGTCTAATAACTTATTCTGCCATTCCCTTAAGTAAGTAAAAAAAATTTAAGCTTACCAAATGTGAGGTCTTTTCCTAAGCTGGGGGAAGAGGGAAACTTTGGAAAGAAACTTTTTAAGGAGACATTTTGGAACTCACTTGGAAGGATCTATTTTAAAGGTCTAACATCCTATATTTCCACAAACTACTTTGCTGCCTGTTTTGTGACTTTAAATCTCTGTGGGTGTTCTCTCACTAAAGAGTACTAGCCCCAAACTCTTGGAAACCAGGGAATTTTCTCATATATATTCAATGCCACAAAAGGAGAGACAAAGTTCATTCTTTCAAACTAAAAATGACATAAAAGTGGTATAGGGAATAGTTCATAAAGATTATATGAAGGGGAAATGCTTCATTTGCAACTATTATTATTATTATTATTATTATTATTATTATTATTATTATCACTATCATTATTATTTACAGGTATAATACCAATTATAAAAATATAGCCACACATAATTAAAATAAACAATAAAACAATAAAACAAAACATTAAAATAAACACCCACAATCAAAATGTGCCATAAACAAGTCAATTAAAGGAGCATAGCAATTAAAACAGCTGGTTCAAGTCAGGAGATCAGGAGAATTCCTGTCTAAACAGGTGTGTTTTCAGGAGCCAGCAGAATACAGATGCCAACGGGGCTTATCGTATTTCAGCAAGGAGAACATTTCACAATCCTGGTGTCACTGGTGAAGAAGCCCAGCTCAGTGTTACCACAGGCCAGTTATCAGGGTTCCATTCCTTGGTCTTACTGCTGTTACGGTGCAGCAGAGGGGAATATGGTCTTTCAGGTAGGCCGGTGAGGTCATCTGAAAGCAATCAACATGTGGCATCCTGCTTTCAATCATCTCCCTTGCTGGCTTGGGGCAGTGGACATTTTTGAACCAGTTAAAAAAAACCACTTTTGTATACAATACAGCTTTCATGGTACATCTGCCTTCCCCTGTCATCCTGCATCTCCACAATGCCGAACATTTTGTCCTCTGGTTGCTGCGGAAAGAAGTCATTGCACCATCAGAAACTTGCACGGCAACTGTAAGACCTAGAGCAGGCATGGCGCTCTACGTGGGGCTACCTTTGAAGGTGACCCGGAAACTACAACTAATCCAGAACGCGGCAGCCAGACTGGTGACTGGGAGCGGCCGCCGAGACCATATAACACTGGTCTTGAAAGACCTACATTGGCTCCCAGTACGTTTCTGAGCACAATTCAAAGTGTTGGTGCTGACCTTTAAAGCCCTAAACGGTCTCGGTCCCGTATATCTGAAGGAGTGTCTGCACCCCCATTGTTCTACCCAGACACTGAGGTCCAGCACCGAGGGCCTTCTGGCGGTTCCCTCACTGCGAGAAGCCAAGTTACAGGGAACCAGGCAGAGGGCCTTCTCGGTAGTGGCACCCTCCCTGTGGAACGCCCTCCCACCAGATGTCAAAGAGAACAACAACTACCAGACTTTTAGAAGACATCTGAAGGCAGCCCTGTTTAGGGAAGCTTTTAATGTTTGATGTATTACATTATTTTAATATTTTTGGAAGCTGCCCAGAGTGGCTGGGGAGGCCCAGCCAGATGGGCGGGGTATAAATAATAAAATTATTATTATTATTATTATTGTTGTTGTTGTTGTTGTCCCAAAACAGCTGGAGGGCCACGTTTGGCCATGCCTGACCTAGAGAGTGCTCTCCCCATTTTTCAGATGATAACGAAAGAGTGTGGCAAAAATCTGGAATGGATATTTTGAGTCCAAAGACATGAAGCTGGTATGGTAGCCGTAAGTAATGTGACTTCACCATCTCACACGGACCAGGACTAAAGTTATTGCAGTGCAGATACATTGGCTTGAGGGGAAGCACAAGTATAATTCAAGCTCAGGGAGATGGCAAACATGAAGGCCCCTTTTAGCCCTGATTTACAGGGGTGCATCTGCTCCTGACCGTCTTCTGTTGCAAAGGCTACAAGTTTACAATGCTGGAATTTGAAACAGTTGGAAGCTTTATAGATGACCAGACCCTGATCATAAAAATTCAATTGAATCTCCTCTATCCATTCTTTCATTGCAGCCCCTGCAAATTGATACCACATGAAGCCATATTCCTGACATAACCCTGTTACAGCTAAGAGTTAATTCAGGATCATCACTCCATGCAACAGAAAATGTCCCGCTCATGTAAAATGCCCAAGTAACTAAACAAACAAACAAACAAAAAACCCTGCATGCCTCACTTTTGCCCCTTTATTGTGTGTATCCGCATGCCAGGAAATAGACAGTTTTTTAGTTTGCCTTTCTGCAGAGCAATAAACATGTTAATTTATTTGCAGTGCACCCAATTCTTTTTTCCACTTTCTACCTTGAGGAGTGCCAATCCTCAATCACTCTTCATATTTCCTGAGCAAAGGAAATATCGAATTAAGCAAAATCCAAATAGACCCAGGTAGCGATCAAAGAAATTTTAAAGAGGATGATTCAGAAACAAACATCTAGCTGCCAAGTCATTTTCCACCTAGGATCATTATTTAAAACCAACACCACAACACAAAAGAATATAAACGAAAGGATTCCAGGTATTGGCCTCTTACCAAGAGAAGGAGAGAATGACTACCATACTCAATCTAAACAAGTGGGTTAAATGGTCTGGGCCAGGATAGGAAAGCATCCTGTTTTCTTCTATAGGGGGCTTCACATCAGTGAAAATTAGGCCAACCTTGGCTTTGCCATTTCCATCTGAAAGCACTGAAACCTCAGCCCCAGCCCTGGAAGTGCTAAAGGATCTGCACAGCTCTGTCTGATCAGGTCCTCAACTTTGGTGTTCATCCGGGTGGCGCTGTTGTCTAAACCACCGAGCCTCTTGGGCTTGCTGATCAGAAGATCAATGGTTTGAATCCCCATGACGGAGTGAGCTCCCGTTGCTCTGTTCCAGCTCCTGCCAACCTAGCAGTTCAAAAGCACGCCAGTGCAAGTAAATAAGCAGGTACCACTGCGGCGGGAAGGTAAACAGTGTTTCCGTGCGCTCTGGTTTCCGACACAGTGATCTGTTGTGTTAGAAGCGGTTTAGCCATGCTGGCCACATGACCCAGAAAGCTGTCTGTGGACAAACACCGGCTACCTTGGCCTGAAGCGAGATGAGCGCCACAACCCCATAGTTGCCTTTGACGGGACTTAACAGCCCAGGGGTCCTTTACCTTTACTTTTTACATATCCACAGTGAGAAACTAGAAAGAGGGAAACTAAACAAAGCTGTATACCTAATCATGCTTAAAGACATAAAGCTTTGTGGTGTACAGGAAATCTCACTGTTAAGGGATTTTGGTGTAACAATGCGGGTAGGGAAAATGTGGCACTGGAAAAAGACACCCCATCAACATATTTGTACAGTACAGTAGTAGAAGTATAGTAGTACCTTGGTTCTCAAACTTAATTTGTTCCAGAAGTCTGTTCCAAAACCAAAGTGTTCCAAAACCAAGGCACGTCTTCCCATAGAAAGTAAGGAAAAATCGATTAATCCGTTCTAGACTTTTAAAAACAACCCCTAAAACAGCAATTTAACATGAATTTTACTATTGAACGAGAGCATTTATCCATAAAATGAAAGCAATAAACAATGTACTGCAGTCACTCACTCACTCACTCACTCACTCAATCAATCAATAGCTGAACTGTTTTCCACACAGTCACAAACACAAAACACAAAAGAGTCACAAAAACACAAAATAAACAGCAAAAACAGACAGACCTCAGCATAACACTCAAAAAGGAGCACATTCGACTTCCGAAAAATATTCACAAACTGGAACACTTACTTCCAGGTTTG